ACAGCAATGAGTTTGTCAATCGAGATGATGACGATTTAAAAGTGCGCAGCTTCCAGTGGCTTCCTAACATGGGAAGGAAAAGAACGTTCCAGACGGCCCCAGAAGCAGCACATCCTAAAGTGCCGCGCGACGACGCGGCCCCCGGCCACCCGGCCCACGGCGTCGCGTGCCGTGCTTCGTAGGCGCCGCTCGCTAATCGCTCACGGCGCTTGCCCCCCCCCCCCCCCGTACCCGAAGTGTGTTAAAGGCTACCCGGGGGACCTGTGCCTTTGTCTCCCCGTGCACTGGGCTAATCCCGCATTAGCGGCGTGCATTAGAGAATGGATTAGAGGCGCTTCTTTGTTTGGTCGGATACGCGGCTATCCTCCCTCTCTCCCCCCTCTCTCCCCTCCCTCTCGTTGTTTTACCATCAGAGGAAACAAGAAGATGCTCGGTGTAGTCGGCACTTTGCTTCGTTCATCATTTTGTTTTTGTTTTCTCAATGCTTTGCTTTATGTGCCCCCCCCCCCCTGTTTAAATTAAAGATTTCACAAAATATGTCACGCTCTGCTCTCCTCCTTCTTACCCCTTCCCTCTCTACCCCCCTCTCCCTCTCGATGGCTATGTTCCCCCTGCTTTCTATGTCTCCCCCCCCTCTCTCCCTCTCATGTATCTCTCTCTCCCCTCTCTCTCTCATTCTTTATATCCTCCCTCTCTCCCCCCTCTATCGTTTCCTCCCTCTCTCCCTTGTCTCTCCTCCCTCTCTGTCCCCCTCTCATGTATATCTCTCTCCCCCCTCCATCTCATTCTTTATATCTCTCTACACTCTCATCTCATCCCTCTCTCTTTCTATCATTTATCTCTCTCTCCCCAACCTCTCTACTCCCTCTCTCATCCCTCTCTTTTTTTTTAACAGAAATCTATTTTATTGCAATATATTGGGGAGGACATTTTTTGCATATTTGAATATTAGGGGGAATGTGTCCTCTCCCCTCTCTCTCTCTTTTTTTTTTTTACGATCAGTGGAAACAAGAAGATGCTCGGTGTATTCGGCACTTTGTTTCGTTCATCATTTCGTAAATTTTTTTTTTTTTTACGATCAGTGGAAACAAGAAGATTCTCGGTGTATTCGGCACTTTGCTTCGTTCATCATTTCGTATTTTTTTTTACTTTGTTTCATGTAATTCCCCCCTCTCGCTCACGCTCTCGCTCATTCTCGTTCTGCACACAGCCCTTCTCGCAGTCCAACGGCCTCCGACGGGTAGCTCATAACTGCATGCAGAGCTCCCCATCATCTGCCACCGAGCACACGGCCTCCTCCATCGCCCACCGCTCCTTGAAGGCCGGCACGGCGTGGGTCAGCCGCGCCGCATGGCGGAACTCCAGCCCACACACCCTGGCTCCGACCAGAGCGCAGAAGATGCCCACGCTGCTGGCCGGACGTTTCTCCTCCAGGGCCACCTTCCTCGCCCTGTGTACGGCGAGCTTTGCACAGCCGACGAGCACGTTGACCAGCCCCTGAAGATGTTGGGGTCTGTCGCCCTTTTGGTATCCAAAGATGAGGACCGTCATGTTTCTCAGGACCTTGAACAACAAATCCAGGCTCTTGCACTCCACGTATTGGTGCGCCACCGTCTCCACTTTACCGCAAAACCGACACTCCGGGGACGTGTCGGTGAAGCGCGTCAGGGAGGCGTTGGTGGTGACGGTGCCGTGGGCGATGCTCCAGCTGCGGTCACCGATGCGGTTGTACGTCGGGTTGGAGTAGATTTGCCTCCAGCGAGGCCTCTCCGGAGAGATGCAGGGCAGGGCTCTCCTCCAGGCATGGTCCTTGTGGTTCCTCAGGGTGTCCTGTTGGTGAAACCGGACCATGTAGGAGTAGAGCACCTTCCTCTTTACATTTGCGAAGGCCACCTCCGGTAGGTCTCCCAGCCGGCACAAGTTGTGATCCGCCTTCGCTTGTCGGCATTGGCGATGCAGCGGCACGACGGAGAGCTCCGGTGGAGGGGGACCGAGAGGGGCCTCGTCATCCCCAACGCCGATGAGGGGGGGGGGGGGCGTTCTCCCCGCTGCCGCCGAGAAGGCCCCTCGGCTTCGGCCAGGATCCAGGCAGCCACCCGGAGCGACTGCAGCCCCCCGTCTTTGCGGCCATGTCTGCTGGTCCGAGCCACCGGCCCCATGTTCCAGACTCCACCAGATCTCCCATCCTGGTGAGCCGCGCGTTGGTGAGGCGCCTCTCCATGCCGGGGGAGGCGGTGGTGGATGGCAGCTTTGTCTGTGGGTTCCTGAGGATCGGTTCAAAGGCCAGATCTTTGGCCGATCGCGGCTGGTTCAGCCTCCTGACGGCGAGGGAGCTCCACGTCTGCAGGACGCTCCTGTAGAAAGGTGGCAGCTGTCCCAGTGGGAGGCCCTGCAGGTCCATGTAGAATAGTTGTTTGGAGCACTGCAGACCCCCCAGCTGCTTCAGGAGGAAGGAGGCCGTTACGCTCCAGGCCGGTGCAGGGGCAGCGTGCAGGAACTTGTGTGCGGCCTGCAGTCGGAAGGTGGCCAGCTGACTCCGCACGCAAACCAGCCCGTGACCGCCCTCGTCCAGTGGCAGGGCCAGGACCCCAGCCGCGACCCGGTGTCCTCCGCCGGACCAGAAGAAGTCGAGGACTCGCTTCTGAAGCGCGTTGATGAGGCTCATGGGGGGGTGCAGGGAGAAGAGTCGATGCCACAGCACTCTCTCGCTCTCTCTCATTCTGCACGCAGCCCTCTAGCAGTCCAACGGCCTCCGACGGGTAGCTCATAACTGCATGCAGAGCTCCCCGTCATCTGCCACCGAGCACACGGCCTCCTCCATCGCCCACTCTCTCATCTCATCCCTCTCTCCCCGCTCGCCACCCCATCTCAATCCCCTCTGCTGTTCTCTGTTTTCCAGGAGAGCAAACTCCCTTCACTGCCTCACCCCCTTCACCCCCCCCCCTCACCACACTCTAGGGGACCTCCCCAGATCTCCCTCTGGTGGTAGTGGTGGGGTTCCTGCCCCCCATCCCCCCTCTCCTCAGCAGTGCGGCACTTTCAGGGCTGCGCCTGTAGCCTCGCCGCTTTCACTCTGCGGCCTCGCTCCGAGCTGCCAGGGGACCTGAACCAAGCCCAGACCCCTCCCCTCACACCCCCCATTGCACCCCACCCCCTCCCCTACCCCCCACTGACAGAAGCGTTTATCCGCCTGTCAATATCAATCAGCGATCTCCAACCACAGGGGACTTACTGCGTCTGACACCGTACTCACTCACCCAACTCACTCACTCACCCAACTCACTCACTCACCCAACTCACTCACTCAACTCACTCAACTCACTCACCCAACTCACCCAACTCACTCACCCAACTCACTCACTCACCCAACTCACTCACTCACTCACCCAACTCACTCACTCAACTCACTCACCCAACTCACCCAACTCACTCACCCAACTCACTCACTCAACTCACTCACTCACCCAAACTCACTCACCCAACTCACTCACTCACTCACCCAACTCACTCACTCACTGTGGGGGGAGAGAGAGATCTGAAGAGAGATTTTAGAGAGAGCGAGCGATGTGGAGAGAAAGGGAGGGGAGGGAGAGTAAGAGGTGGGGAGACAGAGCGAGGGGAGCGAGGCAGATAGATTTCCGCATTTCGCAGTGAGTTTTGTTGCAGGCACCACACGTTCATGGGTAAAGTCTCGCGTCTCTATCACCCCATCCGTTTAGAGAGAGAGAGGTACAGAGAGGGAGAGGGAGATGGATGTATTTGATGGCTCAGCCTTGCCCATTACGCGATAATGACTGGCGGGGTGGAGGCGGCGGTCGCTGCTATAATCACGCGAATTCTCGCATGGAAGTGGCCGCGGATGGAGTGGTTTGAGTGCGTGTGTGTGTCTGTGTGTGTCTCTGTGTGTGTGTCTGTGTGTGTATCTGTGTGTGTGTCTGTGTGTGTATCTGTGTGTGTGTGTACGTCTGTGTCTGTGTGTGTCTCTGTGTGTGTTCGTGTCTGTGTGTGTCTGTGTGTGTATCCGTGTGTCTGTGTGTGTGCGTGTCTGTGCTCGTGTGTGTCTGTGTGTCTGTATGTGTATCTGTGTGTAGCGGTTAGCGATTCGAGTTCGATTCCCGCTCACGGCCAACAACAGTGACTATTATGTACACCGGTCCTGGGCCTCCCCTAGGTCGACTCAGCCTGAAATGACTACGTGGTGTGATGTGTAAACATCGCCACTGGGGAGACAAATACGGCCGGGCGTGGTGTGGCCACCCACTCCCTCGTGTGCCGTGCCGGCCTTCATAGGTTCTCGCTAACAGCATTCTGCCCAACAGCGTGTCAAGGCTACACGGGGGATGTTTGTCTTTGTGTGTGTGTGTGGTGCATCTCAGTCAGTCATCCCGTGGCATCTGGGTCTGTCTCATGACGTCCTTCCAGCGGGTGTTAAGTTGTCGAGTTGAGTTGTTGAGTTGAATTGTTGAGTTCAGTTGTAGAGTTCAGTTGTTGAGTGGTTGAGTGGTTTAGTTGGGTTGTTGAGTTAGGTTGTAGGGTTTTAGAGTTATTGAGTTGAGTGTTAGTGGTTTAGTTGAGTTCTTAAGTTGAGTTGTTGTTGACTTGTTCGCTGTGATTGTGTACCATTACCAACCCAGTAGCATCAGCGTCACGTCCTGATGTGACGATGATGACAATGCTGATCCTATTTGTGATGCTGCTGCTACTGATTATCACAATGGCGATGCTATTTGTGATTATGCTGTTGATGCTGATGATGATGGCAATGCTGCTGCTGCTGATAATGACAACGATGATGATGAATACAATCGTGATAGGGACAGCGTTGATGATGATGATCTTGACGATAATTCTGACGATAATGCTGATTATGACAATGGTGATGATGCTGATGATGATGACGGTGATGCTGATGACGATGGTGGTAATGACGGTGATGCTGCTGATGCTGGCTGATGATAGTGATGCTCATGATGATGATGTTGGTGACGATGCCTCCACAGAAATACAAGGAGTCAGAGAAGAGGGTGCGGATCGACGAGGTGGATGGCCTGCAGCTGGTGAAGAAGATTGCCAAGAACATGGAAACGATGTTCAGCAAGAAGGTGACTGCGGTGAAGGTGAGCAGATGGGTGAGTGGATTGGTGAGTGGCTGACCGAGTGGCTGACCGAGTGGTTGGGTGAGTAGATTGTTGAGTAGCTGGGTGAGTGGCTGAGCGAGTGGCTGGGTGAGTGAATTGGTGAGTCAGTGGCTGAGTGAGTGGCTGGGTGAGTGGCTAGGTGAGTGGATTGGTGAGTGGCTGAGTGAGTGGATTGGTGAGTGGCCGGAATTCCACAATCGTCGCTGGGCAGGCAGCGAGCCTCATCAGCTGCTTCCCACACCCCAAGCTCTGGAGCGCGGGCACGCGGGACATCCCTGAGCCCTCGGAGCCTTGACGACGTGGAGTGGTTGACGCAGGGCACCTGCCGCTGCGCTCCCACCCCCAGGAGTTCACCTCTGGAGGCGGTGACAGAGAGAAACACCCTGGAGGTTGTTGGCGCAAAATAAACGAGGGGGGTGACATGTGTTGGTGGGGGTGGGGGGGGTGAGATGTGTTGGTGGGGGGGGGGGGTGAGATGTGTTGGTGGGGGGGGGGGGGTGAGATGTGTTGGTGGGGGGGGGGGGGTGAGATGTGTTGGTGGGGGGGGGTGAGATGTCTTGGTGGGGGGGGGTGAAATGCCTTGGTGGGGAGGGGTGAGATGTGTTGGTGGGGGGGGTGAGATGTGTTGGTGAGGGGAGTGAGATGTGTTGGTGGGGGGGGTGAGATGTGTTGGTGGGGGGGGGTGAGATGTGTTGGTGGGGGGGGGGGTGAGATGTGTTGGTGGGGGGGGTGAGATGTGTTGGTGGGGGGGGTGAGATGTGTTGGTGGGGGGGGGGTGAGATGTGTTGGTGGGGGTGGGGGGGTGAGATGTGTTGGTGGGGGGGGGTGAGATGTGTTGGTGGGGGGGGAGTGAGATGTGTTGGTGGGGGGGAGTGAGATGTGTTGGTGGGGGGGGTGAGATGTGTTGGTGGGGGGGGGGGGGTGAGATGTGTTGGTGGGGGTGGGGGGGTGAGATGTGGTGGGGGGTGACATGTGTTGGTGGGGGTGGGGGGGGTGAGATGTGTTGGTGGGGGGGGGGGGGTGAGATGTGTTGGTGGGGGGGGGTGAGATGTGTTGGTGGGGGGGGAGTGAGATGTGTTGGTGGGGGGGGGTGAGATGTGTTGGTGGGGGGGGGTGAGATGTGTTGGTGGGGGGGGGGTGAGATGTGTTGGTGGGGGGGGGGGTGAGATGTGTTGGTGGGGGGGGGGGTGAGATGTGTTGGTGGGGGGGGGGGTGAGATGTGTTTGTGGGTTGGGGGTGAGATGTGTTTGTGGGTTGGGGTGAGATGTGGGGGGGGAGGTGAGATGTGTTGGTGGGGGGGGGGTGAGATGTCTTGGTGGGGGGGGTGAGATGTGTGGTGGGGGGGGGGTGAGATGTGTTGGTGGGGGGGGGGTGAGATGTGTTTGTGGGTAGGGGTGAGATGTGGGGGGGGGGAGGTGAGATGTCTTGGTGGGGGGGGGTGAGATGCCTTGGTGGGGGGGGGGGTGAGATGTGTTGGTGGGGGGGGGGTGAGATGTCTTGGTGGGGGGGGGTGAGATGCCTTGGTGGGGAGGGGTGAGATGTGTTGGTGGGGGGGGTAAGATGTGTTGGTGGGGGGGGTGAGATGTGTTGGTGGGGGGGGAGTGAGATGTGTTGGTGGGGGGGGGGGGTGAGATGTGTTGGTGGGGGGGGGGGTTAGATGTGTTGGTGGGGGGGGGGTGAAATGCCTTGGTGGGGAGGGGTGAGATGTGTTGGTGGGGGGGGGGGTGAGATGTGTTGGGGGGGGGGCTAGATGTCTTGGTGGGGGGGGGTGAAATGCCTTGGTGGGGAGGGTGAGATGTGTTGGTGGGGGGGGGTGAGATGTGTTGGTGGGGGGGGTGAGATGTGTTGGTGGGGGGGGTGACATGCCTTGGTGGGGGGGGGGGTGAGATGTGTTGGTGGGGGGGGGGGAGAGATGTGTTGGTGGGGGGGGGGGGGAGATGTGTTTGTGGGTTGGGGTGAGATGTGGGGGGGGGAGGTGAGATGTCTGGTGGGGGGGGTGAGATGCCTTGGTGGGGAGGGGGGGTGAGATGTGTTGGTGGGGGGGGGGTGAGATGTCTTGGTGGGGGGGGGTGAGATGTGTTGGTGGGGGGGGGTAAGATGTGTTGGTGGGGGGGGGGTGACATGTGTTGGTGGGGGGGGAGTGAGATGTGTTGGTGGGGGGGGGGGTGAGATGTGTTGGTGGGGGGGGTGAGATGTGTGGTGGGGGGGGGGGGGGGTGAAATGCCTTGGTGGGGAGGGGTGAGATGTGTTGGTGGGGGGTGAGATGTGTTGGTGGGGGGGGGGGGGTGAGATGTGTTGGTGGGGGGGGGGGTGAGATGTGTTGGTGGGGGGGGAGTGAGATGTGGTTGGTGGGGGGGTGAGATGTGTTGGTGGGGGGGGGGTGAGATGTGTTGGTGGGGGGGGTGAGATGTGTTGGTGGGGGGGGGTGAGATGTCTTGGTGGGGGGGGGTGAGATGTGTTGGTGGGGGGGGTGAGATGTGTTGGTGGGGGGGGGTGAGATATGTTGGTGGGGGGGGGGTGAGATGTCTTGGTGGGGGGGGTGAGATGTCTTGGTGGGGGGGGGTGAGATGTGTGGTGGGGGGGGGGTGAGATGTGTTGGTGGGGGGGAGTGAGATGTGTTGGTGGGGGGGGGGTGAGATGTGTTGGTGGGGGGGGTGAGATGTGTTGGTGGGGGGGGGGTGAAATGCCTTGGTGCGGAGGGGTGAGATGTGTTGGTGGGGGGGGGTGAGATGTGTTGGTGGGGGGGGGGGTGAGATGTGTTGGTGGGGGGGGTGAGATGTGTTGGTGGGGGGGGAGTGAGATGTGTTGGTGGGGGGGGTGAGATGTCTTGGTGGGGGGGGGGTGAAATGCCTTGGTGGGGAGGGGTGAGATGTGTGGTGGGGGGGGGGGGGTGAGATGTGTTGGGGGGGGGGGTGAGATGTGTTGGTGGGGGGGGTGAAATGCCTTGGTGGGGGGGGGGGGTGAGATGTGTTGGTGGGGGGGGTGAGATGTGTTGGTGGGGGGGGGGTGAGATGTGTGTGGTGGGGGGGGGGGGGTGAGATGTGTTGGTGGTGGGGGGGGGGGGTGAGATGTGTTGGTGGGGGGGTGAGATGTCTTGGTGGGGGGGGGTGAATGCCTTGGTGGGGAGGGGTGAGATGTGTTGGTGGGGGGGGGGGAGATGTTGGTGGGGGGGGGGTGAAATGCCTTGGTGGGGAGGGGGAGGTGAGATGTGTTGGTGGGGAGGGGGGTGAGATGTGTTGGTGGGGGGGGGGGGTGAGATGTGTGGTGGGGGGGGTGAGTGTTGGTGAGGGGGAAGTGAGATGTGGTTGGTGGGGGGGGTGAGATGTCTTGGTGGGGGGGGGGGTGAAATGCCTTGGTGGGGAGGGGTGAGATGTGTGGTGGGGGGGGGTGAGATGTGTTGGTGGGGGGGGGGTGAGATGTGTTGGGGGGGGGGGTGAGATGTGTTGGTGGGGGGGGGGTGAGATGTGTTGGTGGGGGGGGGGGTGAGATGTCTTGGTGGGGGGGGTGAAATGCCTTGGTGGGGAGGGGTCAGATGTGTTGGTGGGGGGGGGGGGGGGTGAGATGTGTTGGTGGGGGGGGGTGAGATGTGTTGGTGGGGGGGGGGGGGGTGAGATGTGTTGGTGGGGGGGGGTGAGATGTGTTGGTGGGGGGGGGTGAGATGTGTTGGTGGTGGGGGCGGTTGAGCGTCGTGGTCGATGGAGAGAAAGTTGCGAGACGACGGGGAGAAGGGCAGGAGACGACTTGGGAGATGTTGGGGAGATCTGGGGAGAGATGGGAAGAAATGTGTGGAGAGTCAGGTGAAGATATGATCTGGGTAATTAAAAGTGTGGTGTGTGTGGTGTGTGTGTGTGTGTGTGGTGTGTATGGTGTGTGTGTGTGGTGTGTGTGGTGTACACAAACAAATACACACATCCGCCGTGCAGCCTGTAACAGACTGTCGGGTCAAGTGCTGTTAGCGAGCAGCACCTATGAAGGCCGGCACAGCACACGATGGGGTGGGTGGCCAGCACCCCACGCCCGGCCGCCTTTGTCTCCCCATTCGCGATGTTTCCCCACCGCACCAAGTACTCATTTGAGGCCGAGTCGACCTAGGGGAGGCCCAGCTACCGGTTCAAGATAATCGTCACCGGCGGTGTTGGTGGTGATAGCCGCAAGCGGGAATCGAACTCGGGTGGCCGGGTTCGTGGCTGTGTGGGGGGAGTCCCACCGGGCCCCCCTCCCCCCTACCCCCCATCTTTACCCCCCTCCCCTCCTCCCTCCCCTCCACCCACTTCCCTACCCCCATCCCCCCATCACCGAACATCGGAGTTTCATTCGCGCAGCTGCCTTGGCTCTGTTATGGCCGGATGATGGTGGAGATGGGGATGGTGATGATGATGGTGATGATGATGGTGAAGATGATGGTGGGGATGGTGATCGGGATGGTGATGGGGGTTGTGATAATGATGATGGGGATGATGGTGGGGATGATGGTGGGGTTGGTGATGATGAGGGTGATGGGGATGTTGATGGGGGTGTTGATGGGGGTGATGTGGAAGTTGATGGGGGCGATGGGGCTGTTGATGGGGGTGATGGGGCTGTTGATGGGGGTGATGGGGCTGTTGATGGGGGTGATGGGAGTGATGGGGATGTTGATGGGGCTGTTGATGGGGGTGTTGATGGGGGTGTTGATGGGGTGTGATGGGGGTGTTGATGGGGGTGTTGATGGGGGTGATGTGGATGTTGATGGGGCTGTTGATGGGCATGATGATGATGGGGGTGATGATGATGGGGTTGCGCTCATTAAGTTGGGATAATTTTGTTCCGGCAATGCCTCTCCCCCTCCCTCCCCTCCCCTCTACCCTCCCCCCTCCCCCCTCCCCCTCTACCCCTCTACCCCTCCCCTCTCGCCCCTCTCGCAATTTGCCCGCCCCCCTAAGTGGGAGGGGGGGTAGCGATGAGAATGGCGGTAGCGAGTAATTGGAGGCATTATCTAGCGGCGGAGGGCGTGGAAGCGAAACCCGAGTCTGGAGGAGGCGGAGGAGGAAAGAGCGACTTTGATGCCGAGAGATGGGAGAGACAGAGATTAGAGAGAGCGAGAGAGATGAGAGAGATGAGAGAGAGGGAGAGATTAGTAAGATAGATATTTGAGAGAGAGATTAGTAGGGGAGAGAGAGAGATGAGAAAGTTGAAGGTGAGAGAGATGTGTGTGTGTTGAACTTATTTTGCAACCTACGTAGCCAACCGCGCTAATCAGAGGTGCGGGGGAAGGACAATAAACGAGATGAGAGAGATGCAAAGTGAAACAATAAAGAGAGATATGTAGAGAGAGAAAACGATTGACAAAGAGAGAGAGAGAGAAATAAATGCGGAGAGATACAGCGAGAGAAAGTTATGAAGAGACTTTTGACTTTTAAACAACTTTTTATTGCCGCCAGCAGCAAATGCACTGGAGGCGATTTCAATATGAAATACACAAAGTCACCAGCAAACAAATGAAAATAATCGTTACAAATCGACGCGCTGTGGCGCTACAAGCACCGCGCACAACACGAAAGAAAAGCCACGTGGTGGTTGTGGTGTCATCGCGCACGCCACGGTGACGAGCGAGCGCTTCACAAGGTGAACACGAGGGTGCCGCTCACGCTGGTACAGAGAGGGGGGCTTTTCCGGCTCCCCAGCGTTCGAAGAAGACGCGCAAAGCGCCGCCGGCATGCGAGTGGTACGCGGCGCGCTCCAGCCGGAGCCGCGCCCCGAGCAGGCCCCTGATCACTGGAAGCACCACAGAGCAGCCGTCAGCGTCGCCTTGCAGCATCTTTATCCTTGTGCACCGCCATCTTCGCTTGGGCGCGGACGAAGTTGGCGAGGTCGTGGCGCTTGTTAGCCAGGTAAGGCGCCGTCCCGTATACGAAGCTGCTGCTATAGAAGGGCACCCCCAGTCTCCTGAAAGTGTTCCCCAAAAGCCGGAACATTCGGATGAGCCGCTGGCAGCGTAAGTACTGGTGGGGCAGATCCTCCCTGGCACCGCAGAAAGAGAGAGACAGAGACAAAGAGAGAGAGACAGAGGGAGAGACAGAGTGAGAGATGGAGAGGGAGACAGAGGGACGACTAACCACTGCGCCACCACCTCAGATTCAGACAATTAAGACAGTAATCATCATCAACCATGGTCTATCCACTGCTGGATGAAGGCCTCCCCAATCCTCCTCACTTCCATAACACGTCATCATTACCATCACGAGCCAATGGTCTATCCACTGCTGCAATCACCATATGAGCACCAGTGCTTCAATTGGGGCTCACTTGTCATACTCGTCCCCGCCATAGGAATGCGACATTTCCGCCGCTGGCTCCGCTGACGTTGCAACCAGGAGGTTGAGTGCCAACGGCTCAATAAGGCTAATTTGTCTGGATTGTCGTCCCCGCCATAGGAACGTGGAGTTTCCACCACTGGCAGATTACGTATGGGCAGTACATTTATGATGACTGTGCCTGCAGTATGACCCAAGTCTGCCTTCCGGAATTGAACACCCGAACCCCTGGGAAAAATCGTTGGGTTTTATCTATATATGTGAATATGTGTCTGTTCAAAATGTTTAGCGTACTTCCCGACATGCAACAAACTTGTCGGTTTACGGGGGTTGTTTGGCCATACTTCACCACGCGCTCGTAAGCGCAGGTTAGTGGAGCAGGAGCGGGGGGGGCACAACTTAAATCCCCCTCCATCCACCCAGCAACATCCAGTCAATAGGTACTGTACGAACAGAGTCCATCGACAGATTTGGACTCGAGTGTAGGTGCTCGCACCTCTTCTGGAGACGTCATTTCCAGTGTGAAAGAGCAAACATCCCCCAGAGAGAGGAGCTCTCTCGACTTGCAGCCATCCCACTACCAAACTGTCCATATGTCCAGTCGCAGCTGTTCGGACCGAGAGTCGTAAGTTCTACCGCCGTGCAATAGATGGCGGCGGTGGCATCTTGTACCTACAGGACATGAAGAACCAGTGACATCTACATCTGCATATCATGAAGAACCAGTTGACATCTACATCTGCATATCATGAAGTACCAGTGGCATCTACATCTACAGAACATGAAGAACCAGTGGCATCTACATCTGCATATCATGAAGTACCAGTGGCATCTACATCTACAGAACGTGAAGAACCAGTGGCATCTACATCTGCATATCATGAAGTACCAGTGGCATCTACATCTACAGAACATGAAGAACCAGTGGCATCTACATCTGCATATCATGAAGTACCAGTGGCATCTACATCTACAGAACATGAAGAACCAGTGGCATCTACATCTGCATATCATGAAGTACCAGTGGCATCTACATCTACAGAACATGAAGAACCAGTGGCATCTACATCTGCATATCATGAAGTACCAGTGGCATCTACATCTACAGAACATGAAGAACCAGTGGCATCTACAGAAAATAAAGTTCCAGTGGCATCAACATCTGAAAAACATGAAGAACCAGTGGCATCTACATCTACAGGAGATGATACAACTTTTAAAACCATTCTCCGTGTTTAATGTACACGCCGTATAACACGTTTGGAATCGACGGAAGTTAAATTGGTACTTACGAACAAATCTACTTACGAACAGTCCCCTGGAACCCAACTCGGTCGTGGGATGTGTAAACAAGACATTCTTAGCACCGGAGCTTGGCCTCCCCTAGGTCGACTCAGCCTCAAATGAGTTTCCAGGTGCGGTACGCAGCGAGCGTCGCCGCTGGGGAGACAAAGGCGGTCGGTAGAGGGGTCATGGGGGAGGATGAGGCTTGTCAGCGATCTGCCCGTACCGTGATGATGGTCCTGATGATGATGGTACTGATGGTGGTGATGATAATGGTGCTGATGGTGGTGTTAGTGATTGATGATGGTACTGATGATGATGGTACTGATGATGATGGTGGTACTGATGATGATGGTTCTGATGATGATGGTGGTACTGATGATGATGATGGTACTGATGATGATGGTGGTACTGATGATGATGGTGGTACTGATGATGATGGTGGTACTGATGATCATGATACTGATGGTGGTGATGATGATGGTGCTGATGGTGGTGTTAGTGATGATGATGATGGTACTGATGATGATGATGATGGTGGTACTGATGATGATGGTGGTACTGATGATGATGATGGTGGTACTGATGATGATGATGGTGGTACTGATGATGATGGTACTGATGATGGTACTGATGATGATGATAGTACTGATGATGATGATGAGGGTGGTACTGATGATGATCATGATTGTTCTGATGATCATGGTACTGATGATGATGGTGCTAATGGTGGTGTTAGTGATGATGATGGTACTGATGATGGTACTGATGATGATGGTACTGATGATGATGGTACTGATGGTGGTGATGATGATGGTGCTGATGGTGGTGTTACTGATGATGATGGTACTGATGATGATGGTTCTGATAATGATGGTACTGATGATGATGATGATGGTACTGATGATGATGGTACTGATGATGGTGGTACTGATGATGATGGTACTGATGATGATGGTACTGATGATGATGGTACTGATAATGATGATGGTACTGATGATGCTGCTCCTGATGTTGCTGATGATGTTGCTGCTGCTGATGATGATGTTGCTGATGATGTTGCTGATGATGATGTTGCTGCTGCTGATGATATTGCCACTGATGATGTTGTTGATGATGATTCTGCTGCTGATGATGATGTTGCTGCTGATGATGTTGCTGATGATTATGATGTTGCTGATGATGACGTTGCTGCTGATGATGGTGTGTGTGTGCGCAGCGCCTAGTGGAGGCCGCTGAAGAGGCGAACATGAACCACACCTACGACGAAAACCTCGAGGTGAGGTCGCCCCCTCGGCTCCCCCCCCCCCCGGGCCTCCTGGGTCCCGTGGGGTGCGTGGGTCACGTGGGGTGCGTGGGTCACGTGGGGTGCGTGGGTCACGTGGGGTGCGTGGGTCACGTGAGTCCCGTGGGGTCCCCCGGGGGTGTCCATGGGCGCAGTTGCACCGCCTGCACACTTTGTTGGTGGCCGCCTCAAATGAGATCCCGGTGCGGTGTGAAAACATCGCCACTGGGGAGAGACAAAGGCGATAGGGTGTGGTGCTGCCCGCCCACCCTCGTGTGCCACATTGCCGGCCTTCATAGCAACTGCTCGCGAACAGCACAGCCCTTGCCCCAAGCAGCTTGTGAAGGCTACACAGGGGATCTTTGTCTTTGTGGGAGTGAGCGGGCGAGCGTGCGTGTGATAGACGTGGGTGGTGCTCAGTGCAGTGGGGTGATGGGACACGCACCTCGCGGGGGGAGACGGTGAGCGTTGTGTCGATTCAGCAGTGAGAGTGTGTGTGTGTGTGCGTATCCCTGCGTGTGAGAGTGTGTGCGTGTGGGTGTGTGCGTGTGGGTGTCCCTGTGTGTGCGTGTGGGTGTCCCTGTATGTGCGTGTGGGTGTGTGCGTGTGGAGGGCTCGCCTTCCCATCAACCAGAGGCGAGGAGTGGTGGTCGTGGTTATTTATGCCCCCACTGAAGACGGACATCCGTGGAGGGATGCAGGCAAGGCCGATGAGTCAGATGCCTTCTATGACCTCCTGTCACAGGTACTGGCTAAAGTGGCCACTCGGGACAGAGTCATCTTGTTGGGTGACTTCAATGCCCGAGTTGATCATGATGCTGGCGCCTGATCTGGAGTGATTGGAAGGCATGGGCCAGATAAGCTCAATAACAACGGCAGGAGGCTGCTAGATTTTTGTGCAGCCCATGGGCTTGTAATTACCAACACGCTGTTCCGGCATCGGCACATCCACACAACATCATAGATGCATGCCGGGTCCAAGCAAGAACATTTGCTGGACTACATAGTTACGGAACAGCGGATGCGAGCCCATGTCCTTGACAACAGGACCTACCGTGAATCTGATCTGCCCACTGACCATCGACTTGTCATCTGTAAGATGCGCCTACCATTCTTCCACTCCAGTGGTGGGTGTACACCCAGGACCCCATTCACACCCTTAGTGGCATGGTCTCAGCTAGCTGATCATCGCTCGCGGCTGGGGTTGGCATCGTCCCCCACTCCTCCAGATGTCGAGGGGAAATGGGCAGGTTTAGGACTGTGGCTCATGCAGCTGCAATGGCTGCTTTGGGTACACGGTCCAGACCTCCTAAGAGACCCTGGCTGACAGATGAGGTGTTGAGTCAGTGACAGGCTACACGGGGGGTTTTTATCCTTGTTTTCAGTACCCATCCTCTCGTATTTCACAGTGGCAGCCTTCATTGATGCAACTCGCTAGCAGCACTTTCCGCAACAGCCCGTTGAGGCTACACGGGGGATCTTTGTCTGTGTGTCTGTGTGTCGCAGTACCCCTACTACACGGCGCTGAGCATGCAGGACGAGAGAGACAACTACGGCCTTGAGCTGGGCCTGGAGCCCAACGAGCACTACAACAACATGTCGGTGAACACGAGCCTCAGCGGGGTGCAGGTGCCCACCAACGTCTACAACAAGGGTGAGGCGCGCGCTCACCGCTCGCCCCCAACGCTCACCGCTCGCCCCCCGCGACGCTCGCCCTGCCATGCTCACACCCCACCGCTACGCTCAATAAGCGGCATGGATACCAACACAATAACCTGTGTGCCCACCTGTACACTTACCTGTACGCCTATCTGTACTCTCAGCTGTATGCCTACTTGTTCACTCACAAGTTAGATTCCCGCTCGCAGCCAACAGCAGTGGCGATTACATGAACCGGTCCCAGGTCCTGGGCCTATGTTGCGGTGTGTAATACACAAACATAGCAATCACCAGCACTGGGGAAGACAAAGGCGGCCGGGTGTGCGTGGTCCCGACCAGCCTGTCCAGCTCACAGGACAGGCGGCCACGGTAGCAGCCTTCATAAGCGCTGCTCTTGTGCCCACGAAGTGCTCTGCCTCATTGGGCGACATGTGGAGTTTGCGTCTTGTGGTGTGCAGAGGAGGTCGTGGATTCAATCCCGACTCTGACGATGTCTGTTGCATATCTGGAGTTTGCGTGTCTCTCACTCTCATCATCATTACGGTGGCTCATAGATGTTTACTACCTCGCCTGGTATGTAGGAGGTCGTGGGTTCCATCCCGACCCTAATGATGGCTGCTGTATATTTGGAGTTTGCATGTCTCTCTCTCTTATCATCATGACGGTGCTTAGGATATATTAACTACCTCGCATGATATGAAGGAGGTCGTGGCTTTGATCTCGACCCTAACGCTTTCTGTATACAGGTAGTCCCCGAGTTACGATGGTCCGACTTACGATATTTTCGACTTACGATGGGGTCGTCGTAACGCATCTCCATCGTAAGTAGAGGACTACCTGTAGTTGGAGTTTCTGTCTCTCTCTCCGTGGTGGTCGCGGGGATTTTTCTCCAGGTCCTCCTCTGGCTTTTTCCCCTCCACATTTGAGAATCGAATCCCGCGTTGATAGACAATATTCGGCTGCTGCTTTAACTGACGACGCGATGACGACGATGAGCCACCCCGAGGTCGACTCAAATGAGTGCCTGGTTTGAAGCGGTGCGTGCTAAAGCATCGCCACTCCCGGCCACCACCATCACGAGTGACGATTATCTGAACCGGTCCTGGGCCTCCCCTCGGTCGACTGGGCCTTAAATGAGTATCTGGTGCGGTGTGTAAGAAACATTGCTACTGGGGAGACAAAGGCGGCCGGGCGTGGTGTTGGCCACCCACTCTGTCCTTCGTGTGCCACAGTGCCGGCCTTCAGAGGCGCTGCTGCTTGCTAACAGCACTTGCCTCGGCAGTCTGTTGCAGGCTATACGGGGGGTCTTTGTCTTTGTGTCACCCCGGCTAATAAATGGGGGGGGGGGGGGCTGCCTTGCTCGTCTGCCGATAAGGGGGACCCGGGGAGCGAGGAAGGGGAGATGGGGGAGGAGGAGTGGGGGGGGGGAGGAGTGGGGGGGCGAGGACGAGGGAGGGGGGACAGGAGGAGATGGATGAGAGGGGAGAGGAGGGGCAGAGGGAGGAGGAGGGCGAGGAAGAGGCGGCGGTTGGAGGTGGGGAGCAGGTGGGGGAAGGAGGGAAGAGGAAGATGGTGGAGGGGCGGGGCTCCGATCAGCGTTAGATCTGCCACTGCTGTTGACCAGCGGAGAGAGAGGAGACAGGCGAGATATATGGAGAGAGGGGGAGAGAGAGTGTGGGGAGACAGAGAGAGACGTGGAGAGACTTTTGACTTTTAAACCGCTTTTATTGCCGTCAGCAGCAACAGTACTGGATGCGATTTCGATGCGAAACACAAAGTCACTAGCAAAAAAATGACCCAAATACAAAAAACCCGTCACGTGGTGGTGGTCGTCGTGCACGCCCCCGACGACCGAGCACGTGAGAAGGTGAACAGGAGGGTGCCGCTCACGCTGGTACAGAGAGGGGGGCTTTTCCGGCCCCCCAGCGTTCGAAGAAGACGCGCAAAGCGCCACCGGCATGCGAGTGGTACGCGGCGCGCTCCAACTGGAGCCGCGCCTTGAGCAGACCCCTGAACACTGGAAGCACCACAGAGCAGCCGTCAGCGTCGCCTTGCAGCATCTGTATCCTTGTGCACCGCCATCTTCGCTTGGGCGCAGACGATGTTGGAAACGTGGAGAGAGAGTGGACAGCGAGCTATAGACACCCGGTTCACAAAAGCAAACACACGAACACAAACCTCAGGAAAGATTTTTTTAAATGGGCAATAATAACTATCTACGTGGCTTTACCGAAAGACCCAAAGAAGACAATAATAATAAGTAGTCGAAGATGGAAAGTGTTCCACGGTATTGTTGGACTAACAGTTCTTCAATGTTTCATATGGAGACTAGCTTTACTACCCGGCTTCGCCCGGGACTTGTATCCGCCACGGCCGGCCGCCTTTGTCTCCCCAGTGGCGATGTTAATACGCTACAGCAGTTACTCGTTTGAGGCAGAGTCGACCTAGGGGAGGTTCAAATAATCTTGACCGGTGGTGGCCATGAGCGGGAATCAAACTCGGTTCGCCGGGTTGGTAGCGCAGCGTAGCGTTAAGCACTACACCCACCGCTCCTCACACACCACACACGCACAGACACACACACAGACACACGCAGACACACACAGACAGACACACACACACAGACAGCACGCTAACCACTACACTACCGCTCCCCACACACCACACACGCACACACACACAGACACACACACACAGACACAGGCAGCACGCTAAGCACTACACTACCGTTCCCCCTACACAACACACGCGCGCGCGTCCATAGGTACACATACACGCGCTTGCTGCAGACACACACATACACACACATACATACACGCAGACACACATACACACAAACACACATACATACACACAAACACATACACAATACACACACATACATGCAGACACACATACAGACACATAACACACATACATACACACACATACATACACAGAAAGACACACACACATACATAGACACACACATACATACACACAAACACATGCACACACGTACATACACACATACATACAGACACGCAGACATACACATAAAAACATAGAAAAAGCCACGTACATACACACACACACAAACACATACACACACATACATACACACAATACATACAGACACACAGACATACACATAAACACATACACACATACACATGACCCGGCTTCGCCCGGGACTTGGATCCACGATGCCCGGCCGCCTTTGTCTCCCCAGTGACGATGTTCACACACGACAGCAGTTACGCGTTTGAGGCTGAGTCGACGTAGGGGAGGCCCAGGTCCGTTTCAAATAATCGTCAGCGGTGGTGGGCGTGAGTTGGAATCGAACTGGGGTCGCTCAACCAGCTTAATGACTATTAGTACAAAGAACATATAAAGAATCGATTATAATAACCAGGCTACAGTCCACATGATAGACTGCCAGTACACGCACTCAGCTTCATAAGCAGGCTAGAGTGTACATGATAGAGTGGCGGTACTCAGCACACATACATACACACACATACATACACAGAAAGACACACATACATAGACACACACATACATACACACAAACACATGCACACACGTACATACACACATACATACAGACACGCAGACATACACATAAAAACATAGAAAAAAACCCACATACATACACACACACAAACACATATACACACATACATACACACATACATACAGACACACAGACATACACATAAACACATACACACATACACATGACCCGGCTTCGGCCGGGACTTGGATCCACGATGCCCGGCCGCCTTTGTCTCCCCAGTGACGATGTTCACACACGACAGCAGTTACGCGTTTTTGGCTGAGTCGACGTAGGGGAGGCCCAGGTCCGTTTCAAATAATCGTCAGCGGTGGTGGGCGTGAGTTGGAATCGAACTGGGGTCGCTCAACCAGCTTAATGACTATTAGTACAAAGAACATATAAAGAATCGATTATAATAACCAGGCTACAGTCCACATGATAGACTGCCAGTACACGCACTCAGCTTCATAAGCAGGCTAGAGTGTACATGATAGAGTGGCGGTACTCAGCACACATACATACACACACATACATACACAGAAAGACACACATACATAGACACACACATACATACACACAAACACATGCACACACGTACATACACACATACATACAGACACGCAGACATACACATAAAAACATAGAAAAAAACCCACATACATACACACACACAAACACATATACACACATACATACACACATACATACAGACACACAGACATACACATAAACACATACACACATACACATGACCCGGCTTCGGCCGGGACTTGGATCCACGATGCCCGGCCGCCTTTGTCTCCCCAGTGACGATGTTCACACACGACAGCAGTTACGCGTTTTTGGCTGAGTCGACGTAGGGGAGGCCCAGGTCCGTTTCAAATAATCGTCAGCGGTGGTGGGCGTGAGTTGGAATCGAACTGGGGTCGCTCAACCAGCTTAATGACTATTAGTACAAAGAACATATAAAGAATCGATTAATAACCAGGCTACAGTCCACATGATAGACTGCCAGTACACGCACTCAGCTTCATAAGCAGGCTAGAGTGTACATGATAGAGTGGCGGTACTCAGCACACATACATACACACACATACATACACAGAAAGACACACATACATAGACACACACATACATACACACAAACACATGCACACACGTACATACACACATACATACAGACACGCAGACATACACATAAAAACATAGAAAAAAACCCACATACATACACACACACAAACACATATACACACATACATACACACATACATACAGACACACAGACATACACATAAACACATACACACATACACATGACCCGGCTTCGGCCGGGACTTGGATCCACGATGCCCGGCCGCCTTTGTCTCCCCAGTGACGATGTTCACACACGACAGCAGTTACGCGTTTTTGGCTGAGTCGACGTAGGGGAGGCCCAGGTCCGTTTCAAATAATCGTCAGCGGTGGTGGGCGTGAGTTGGAATCGAACTGGGGTCGCTCAACCAGCTTAATGACTATTTGTACAAAGAACATATAAAGAATCGATTATAATAACCAGGCTACAGTCCACATTCTAGACTGCCAGTACACGCACTCAGCTTCAAAAGCAGGCTAGAGTGTACATGATAGAGTGGCAGTACGCTCACCGAGTTTAATAAGCAGGCTACAGTCTACATGATAGACAGGCAGTACGCTGACCCAGCTTAATCGATTATAATAACCAGGCTACAGTCCACATTCTAGACTGCCAGTACACGCAGTCAGCTTCATAAGCAGGCTAGAGTGTACATGATAGAGTGGCAGTACGCTCACCGAGCTTAATAAGCAGGCTAGAGTCTACATGATAGACTGGCAGTACACTGACCCAGCTTAATGACTATTTGTACAGTGAACATTTAAGTAATCGATTTGGGTTTAAAAGTAATATTAATTGCACACATTGTGGTAGGGGTGGAGTGAAGAGTAGGAAAAACTTTGATGAATTGACCTCAGAGTGGCGTGGTGGGTGTCGAGGCCTAGTAGCGTGCAGAGCCTGCGGCCTCGCCTAAATTGTCCACCCGGCAGAGGCAGGGTACGGGTGGCGTGCCTTCCTTCCCCTCAGCGCTCCAACAATACTGTGTAATGGCAATTATTTAATTATTTAAGGAGCTTATGAAAGCGGCGAAGGCGTGGCTAGCCTTTGGCAGGGGCAACCACCGTCCAATGAAACTGCAGCCCTTGGCGAAGGCGTCGCTAGCCGTTGCCAGGTCCAATGAAAGCGGCGAAGGCGTCGCTAGCCGTTGCCAGGGGCAACCGGCGTCCAATGAAAGTGCGTATGGTCCGAAATCCACACACACACACACAGACAGACATGAACGATTTTATATATATAGATACGTTTGCTCTGTAACTTTGCCATCTTCCATTGGCATCTCCTGTTCTCATAGGTCCGTTCACGACCCAGCCAAGAGTGGTCTTGATTGCGTAGGGTCCATCACCTTCACTATTTATCACCTGCCATGGCTCCATTGCTTGGTGTGCATTAGTTCCTATCAGCAGGCCTACCTCTGTCTCAATGCGTGGGAGGTGCACTTCTCTCAGATAGGGCCATCTCTCAACATCTCTCAGCTGTAGTGGGATGTTTTCTTTCTTCACTGGAATGTCACTGTGGGTGAAGACTTTTGGCAGATCAATATAATCTCCCTCTTCAAGTCCACTCACTTCCAGGTCTGACAGGATATAGCTGTGTACTGACTTCTGCCCCATGGTTTGGAGAAGGATTTCAGTCTTCCTGCCTCTGACATTGAGTTGTTTCCTCAGGGTTTCAGTACAAAACGTCACTAAACTCCCTGGATCCATGAATCCATACGTCTCCACACTCTTCTCATTTATTTTGGATTTGATTATCACGGGAACAATGGCGAGAATAAGTGATCTGTCTCCAGCCCCAGTGTAGCCACAAGTTCCATGCTTAAGGGACACAATAGCACTTGAGGCTGTCTTCTCTTCAGAGTTGCCATCTTCATTCCTTTTAGAGGTGACACTGCTTTCTTTAATGACGTGCAGCATGCTTGGATGCTTCAAGTTACACTCTTGGCATATCATTCTTTTCCTACACTCCTTGCTAAGGTGCCCTTGTTTAAGGCATCCAAAGCAAAGTCCTCTTTTCTTCAGAAACTCAATTCTGTCTTTCTGTGGCTGTTCTTTGACCTTAATGCAACAACCCAGTGTGGTGTGATTCGCATTGCAGAACAAGCACGGCTTATGGAAGGCATTCGCAGGCTGGCCTTGTTTAACACGTAGGCTTTCGCGACCAATATCATGCATAATAGAGATTTTTTGGGTTAGATCGCCAACTAGTAAGGGTTGTCACGTAAACAGAACATGCCAATTCGTCACTAGTACAGCACTAGTGTGTAGTAGTGTATAGTGTAGTATGCTAGTACAGCACACCGGTGTGTTGGAGAGCCAAGCCACAACATTTACAATCTGAGTACCGTGACGTTTTGCCAGTAATTAGAACTAGCTTCATCAGGCGACAGCCAGATTTGTGAAGTCCACCTGTTTCGTTCCTTATATAGAGGCGTAGATGTGGTGACCACGTTTCTGCGCTCTTGCGCCACGTGGGCGGGGGGGGATTACTGAGGCAACGTAGATTATGTATTATGCAAGCCCTTTGAACTTGTCCTTCCTGTCTATTGTGTGCATTAAAATAGGCATATTACCGGTAATCCCTATTGAAGTACGCTGCCCTTTGTAGGCATGCATTTAAATAACGTGTTATTTGATGATTCGCTTCCATGCAGCACTAAGGCGGTAACTATCCGAACGGTTAAAGTAATTTTTATTTATTTTAATTTCGATAGATTCTCCAATTAGTCTTGGCCAGTAGAAGCTAGTTTTGCACAGAACTTCAACATTATCCAAATCAATTGAATGTCCTTGTAGGCACGCATGTTCTGCTACTGCTGATAGTTGTATTTGGGATTAACTGCACGTGTGGTAAATGTTATATTGGGCAAACAGGACGAATGATCAGCACGAGACTAAAATCCCGACTGTCCACTCGCTCCATCTGATTCTTCTCCTGGCTTCTTTTTTATACTGCCAGACCGGAAGTGATGTCAAGGGTTCAACCAACGGAACGTCTCACCAAGGGGGATTCTAAACAGTTGGAATATTCCAAGTCAAGTTTCCCCAATCTTCAAGAAATGTATGACAAATGTACATCAAATGTTCTACAACGCCAATTTCTGGGCCGAATATCCCTGGCATGTCCTCTTGCTACCCTAACTCGACCCTATCCCTACCCTAACCCTACCTTAACTCTACAATAACCCTACCCTAACCCTACCCTAACCCTACCCTAATCCTTCCTTATCTCTACCATAACCCTACCCTAACCCTACCCTAATCCTTCCCTATCCCTACCATAACCCTACCCTAACCCTACCCTAACCCTACCCTATCTTTACCCTAACCCTACCATAACCCTACCATAACCCTACCATAACCCTACCCTATCCTTACCCTAACCCTACCCTAACCCTACAATAACCCTACCCTAACCCTTCCCTATCCCTACCATAACCCTAACCTTTCCTTACCCGAACCCTAACCTAACCCTACCCTAACCATACCCGACCCAAGCCAAATACAAATATCCCCCGTATAGCCTTCAACACGATATTTGTGGCAAGTGATGTCAGCGAGCATCACCCACGAATGGCGGCAGGGCACATGAGGGAGTCATGTCGCCATCACCACGCCCGGCCGTATTTGTTTACCCAGTGGCGAAGATTACTATACACCGCAGCAGGTACTTCTTTGAGGCTGAGTCGACCCAGGGGGAAGCCCACACACCGGTTTAGATAATCGTCACTGGCGGTGCCGACAGCTGTTGAGTGGGAATTGAACTTTGGCTTTAACCCCTGCACCATCGATCCCTTCACCACAACCACCTCTGACCCGACCCCATGACCAAATGACTACACCACCCATTGACCTCACGACCCAATGAACTTACGACCCATTAACCCCACGACCCATTGACCTCACGACTCATCGACGCAACAACCCAACAACCCATTGACCTCACGACAATAACCCAAGGACCCATTGGCCCCTTGACTCCACAATCCATTGACCCCTTGACCCTACGATCCATTGACCCCACGATCCATTGACCCCCACGGCCCATTGACCCCAAGACCCATTAACCCCGAGACCCAACGACCCGTTGACACCGTGGCCTAATCACCCCACGGCCCATGACTCAATGACCCAATGAACCCACGACCCATTGACTCCTGACCAAATCCCCCCGTGTCCCCAAGTCCCAATGACCTCGTAACCCGATGACCCCACCCCCGTGACCCCGCAGACCCGGCCGTCATCAACGGTGCACTGTGGTCGTCAGCGCTGAACGCTGTCTTCGTGAACAACTCCCGGCGCGACCCCACGCTGACCTGGCAGTACTTCGGCAGCGTCGACGGATTCTTCCGCCAGTACCCGGGTGAGCAGGGGTGGGGTGAGCGGTGTGTGGTGAGCGGTGTGGGGTGAGCAGGGGCGGGATGAGCGGTGTGGGGTGAGCAGGGGCAGGGTGAGCGGTGGGTGAACGGTGCGGGGTGAGCGGTGCGGGGTGAGCAGTGAAGGGTGAGCGGTGCGGGGTGAGCGAGTGGGGTGAACGGACGGGGGGACCTCACCCCACTGGGAATTCCCTGTCTGCCTGTAGCTCTCTTTGCGTCTCTGTCTGCCGATCGATCTGTCTCTGTCTCTCTATATATCTGTCTTGCGTGTCTCTCTCTATCTCTCTCTCTCTGTCTCTCTGTGATTCAGGAGTGAAGTGGGAGGCCGATGAAAACTCAGAAGGAGGCGTCATTGAGTACGACTGCAGGAACAGAGGATGGTGAGTGATGGTGATGGGGGTGGTGGGGGTGAGTGATGGTGATGATGGGGGTGAGTGATGGTGATGGGGGTGGTGATGGCGATGATGATGGTGAGTGGTGGTAATGGTGATGGTGGGGGTGGTGATGGTGATGGTGGTGGGGGTGGTGATGATGATGGGGGTGGTGATGGTGATGATGGGGGTGAGTGATGGTGATGATGATGGGGTGGTGATGGTGATGATGATGGGGGTGGTGATGATGGGGGTGGTGATGATGATTGGGGTGGGGGTGGGAGTGGTGATGGTGGTGGTGGTGGTGGGGGTGGTGATGGTCAAGGGGGGGGGGTGATGATGATGATGATGCTGGGTGTGAGTGATGGTGATGGGGGTGGTGATGGTGATGGGGGTGGTGATGGTAATGGGGTTGTGAATGTGATAATGGGGGTGAGTGATGGTGATGGGGGTGGTGATGATGATGGGGGTGGTGATGGTGATGATGGGGGTGGTGATGATGATGATGATGGGGGTGGGGGTGGGAGTGGTGATGGTGGTGGTGGGGGTGGTGATGATGATGGGTGTGAGTGATGGTGATGGGGGTGGTGATGGTGATGGGGGTGGTGATGGTGATGGGGGTGGTGATGGTGATGGGGTTGTGAATGTGATGATGGGGGTGATGGTGATGATGGTGGTGAGTGATGGTGATGGGGGTGGTGAGTGATGGTCATGGTGATGGGGGTGGTGATGGTGATGTATGCAGTCATGGTGTTGATGGTGGTGGTGATCGATCGACTTGTAATGGTGAGCTCCACCTTCTCGCTCCACCTCCCACCTCTGCCGCTTTCGCTCCACCTTCTCGTCGCTTGTCCACCTCGTCGCTCCTCCTTGTCGCCAGGTTCATCCAGGCGTCCACGTCTCCCAAGGACGTCGTCATCCTGGTGGACGTGAGTGGCAGCATGAAGGGCCTGCGCATGACCATCGCCAAGCGCACCGTCATCTCGATCCTGGAGACGCTCGGAGACAATGACTTCTTCAACATCATCGGGGTGAGGGCCATGAGTGAGCGTGAGGTGAATGAGTGTGAGTGAATGAGTGTGAGGTGAATGAGTGTGAGTGAGGTGAATGAGTGTGAGTGAGGTGAATGAGTGAGAGTGAGGTGAATGAGTGAGAGTGAGGTGAATGAGTGAGAGTGAGGTGAATGAGTGAGAGTGAGGTGAATGAGTGTGAGTGAGGTGAATGAGTGTGAGTGAGGTGAATGAGTGTGAGGTGAATGAGTGTGAGTGAGGTGAATGAGTGAGAGTGAGGTGAATGAGTGTGAGTGAGGTGAATGAGTGTGAGTGAGGTGAATGAGTGTGAGTGAGGTGAATGAGTGTGAGTGAGGTGAATGAGTGTGAGTGAGGTGAATGAGTGAGGTGAATGAGTGTGAGTGAAGTGAATGAGTGTGAGTGAGGTGAATGAGTGACGTGAATGAGTGTGAGTGAGGTGAATGAGTGACGTGAATGAGTGTGAGTGAGGTGAATGAGTGTGAGTGAGGTGAATGAGTGAGGTGAATGAGTGTGAGTGACGTGAATGAGTGTGAGTGAGGTGAATGAGTGAGTGAGGTGAATGAGTGTGAGTGAGGTGAATGAGTGTGAGTGAGGTGAATGAGTGAGGTGAATGAGTGTGAGTGAAGTGAATGAGTGAGAGTGAGGTGAATGAGTGTGAGTGAGGTGAATGAGTGAGGACCATGTGTGTGAGGTGAATGAGTGTGAGTGAGGTGAATGAGTGAGGACCATGAGTGTGAGTGAGGTGAATGAGTGTGAGTGGGGTCAGTAGGTCAATGTGTGTGTCTGTGTGTGTGTGTGAGAGCGTTGCTGTATTCGTGAGCGATGGTGTCGTGAGTAGCAGTGCAATACACTACCAAACCGGCTAAACGGCTTCGATTCCCGCTCACGGCCACCATGATCACTCATGACGATTATCTGAACCGGTCATGGGCCTACCCTCGGTCGTTTCAGCCTCAAATGAGTACCTGATGCTGTGTGTAATAAACATCGCCACTGGGGAGACAAAGGCGGCCGGGCGTTGTGTTGGCAACCCAATCCCTCGTGTGACGTTCCGGCCTCCATAGGTGCTCGCGAGCAGCACTTGCACCGACAGGCTGTGGAGGCTATATGGGGACTCTTGCCTTTGTTGTGGTGAGTGAGTGGTAGTGTAGTGTCTAGCGCTGCACTGCGCTATGAGCCTGGCGACCCAAGTTCGATTTCCACTCATGGCCTGCAACTAGGTTGACTCAGCCTCAAATGAGTACCTGATGCGGTGTGTAATAAACATCGCCACTGGGGAGACAAAGGCGGCCGGGCATGGTGTTGGCAACCCACTGCCTCGTGTGCCACCGTTGCCGGCCTTGATAGGCGCTGCTCACGACCAGCACTTTCCCCAGCGCTCTGCTGAGGCTGCAGGGGGATCTTTGTCTGTGCGTGTTGAGTGCAGTACAACGACTTCCTGCACTACGTCGAGCCGTGCCTCAACGAGACGCTGGTGCAGGCCGACCGTGACAATCGTGAGGTAAGCACACACACAACAACAACCGCCATTCGCCACTAAGTGGCGGTGACGTCACCACGACGCTTGTGCCAGGCCAAGTGCACCTTGAGGCCACGTGAAGTGTCAAACGCCCGCTGGCAGGAGGTCACGGGGCAGACCCAGCAGGTGCCACGGGTCGACTGACCGAGATGACCGAGATGACTGGCTGATGCACCACCTGTGCCCCTTACTGTACCAACTTGCTGTGCTTTAGCCACCCGGCGCTCCGCTCGTTGTGAGCGTCGCTCCTCCGCCCTCCGTTGTTGTTGGAGGGCGACTGCCTCCAACTGCCCAGTAGCGTCCTTCAAGAGCCTCCTCCACTGAGGCCGATCTTGACACCGCTGGTACCAGTCATCGGCAAGTCCACTGAGCTCCACGTCCTCCTGTACCACATCACTCCATCCCTTCTCTAGCCCGTGCTACGCCTGTTTAGCCCCCTCGATCCGGCCGAACAAAAGCTGTTTAGGCATGCGGTGGCTGGGCATGCGAGCTACATGACCCAGCACACTGACTGACCCACACTCACCCACTCTCACTCGCCCACTCACCCACTCACCCACTCACCCACTCTCACCCACACTCATTCATCCTCACTCTCACCCACCCTAACTCTAACTCTCACCCACCCTCACTCGCACCCACCCTCACTCGCTCACACTCACTCACATTCACCCTCACCCACTGAATCACCCACCCTCACTCACGCTCATTCACCCACACTCATCCACACTCACCCTCACTTACCCACACTCACCCACACTCACTCACCCTCACTCACTCACCCACACTCACTCACCCTCATCCTCACTCGCTAACACTCACTCACCCACTCACCCACACTCACCCACACTCACTCACACTCACTCACACTCACTCACCCTCACCTCCTCACCCACCCTCACTCATCATCACCTCCTCACCTTCAAAGACCTCCCGTGTACCCTGTAAAAGACGGTTTGTGTACGTGCTTGTAGCGAGGAGCACCTATGAAGGCCGGCACTGGCAGATGCGCACCACCTGTGCTCCGCACTGTGCCTAGTCGCTGCATTTTATCTGCCCATCGCTCCAATCGTTGTTGTGAGTGTCGTTCCTCCACCGTCCATTGTTGCTGGAGGACGACTGCCTCCAACTGCCCAGTAGCCTCAGAGTGCACCTAGCCTGGCACTGCCCAGTAGGCCGATCTTGACACCGCTGGTACCGGTCTTCGGCAAGTCCACTCGGCTCCACATCTTCCTGTTCCGCATCAGCTCCATCTCTTCTCCAGCCCATGCCACGCCCGTTTAGCCCTCTCTATCCGGCCAACTAGAAGCTGCTTGGTTATTTGGTGGTTGAGCATGTGGCCTACATGACTCAATCAACGCAGCTACGCCTGCTGGAGGAGCTCATCGATGGAACTGTGTCCAGATCTTTCAAGGATCTGTGAGCTCCTCACACAATCCAGCCTGGTTAAACCCTGGATGGATCGTAGGAAGACCAGCCTGAATCTGTCTAACTGGTGCAGATGTTCCATTAGAGGTCTCCACGTTTTTGCAAGTAAAGAGAAGGGAGGGAATGGCTGCGTCATCAACAGCTGGGATGGTTTTGGTACAGTGCGTTGGTGTCTGCGCTGTCGACGCAGTATCCGCTGCTGGGTGCCATTGTTCTTCAAGGTATCGCACGAGGAGCGCCATAGTGGGCGGCGGTTGGCTGCAGCTGCCTCAAGGCCGCTGGGCTTGATTTTGCACCTCTTTATTCTCCCCTTCAGATAATCGTTATACCTCAGTGTTGTATACCTCAGTGTTTTATACCTCAGTGTTGTATACCTCAGTGTTGTATACCTCAGTGTTTTATACCTCAGTGTTTTATACCTCAGTGTTGTATACCTCAGTGTTGTATACCTCAGTGTTGTATACCTCAGTGTTGTATACCTCAGTGTTGTATACCTCAGTGTTGTATACCTCAGTGTTTTATACCTCAGTGTTGTATACCTCAGTGTTGTATACCTCAGTGTTTTATACCTCAGTGTTTGGTATACCTCAGTGTTTTATACCTCAGTGTTGTATACCTCAGTGTTGTATACCTCAGTGTTGTATACCTCAGTGTTGTATACCTCAGTGTTGTATACCTCAGTGTTTAATACCTAAGTGTTTCATACCTCAGTGTTTAATACCTCAGTGTTTTATACCTCATTGTTGTATACCTCAGTGTTTCATACCTCAGTGTTGTATACCTCAGTGTTTAATACCTAAGTGTTTTATACCTCAGTGTTGTATACCTCAGTGTTTTATACCTCATTGTTGTATACCTCAGTGTTTCATACCTCAGTGTTTAATACCTCAGTGTTTAATACCTCAGTGTTTTATACCTCGTTGTATACCTAAGTGTTGCATACCTCAGTGTTGTATACCTCAGTGTTTTGTACCTCAGTGTTGTATACCTCAGTGTTGTATACCTCAGTGTTTTATACTTCAGTGTTTTATACCTCAGTGTTTTATACCTCAATGTTTTATACCTCAGTGTTTTATACCTCAGTGGTTTATACCTCAGTGTTTTATACCTCAGTGTTTTATACCTCAGTGTTTTATACCTCAGTGTTGTATTCCTCAGTGTTGTATACCTCAGTGTTGTATACCTCAGTGTTGTATACCTCAGTGTTTTATACCTCAGTGTTTTATACCTCAGTGTTGTATACCTCAGTGTTTTATACCTCAGTGTTGTATACCTCAGTGTTTTATACCTCAGTGTTTTATACCTCAGTGTTTTATACCTCAGTGTTTTATACCTCAGTGTTGTATACCTCAGTGTTGTATACCTCAGTGTTGTATACCTCAGTGTTGTACACCTCAGTGTTTTATACCTCAGTGTTTTATACCTCCGTGTTTTATACCTCAGTGTTGTATACCTCAGTGTTGTATACCTCAGTGTTTAATACCTAAGTGTTTCATACCCCAGTGTTTAATACCTCAGTGTTTTATACCTCATTGTTGTATACCTCAGTGTTGTATACCTCAGTGTTTTGTACCTCAGTGTTGTATACCTCAGTGTTGTATACCTCAGTGTTTTATACTTCAGTGTTTTATACCTCAGTGTTTTATACCTCAGTGTTTTATACCTCAGTGTTGTATACCTCAGTGTTGTATACCTCAGTGTTTTATACCTCAGTGTTGTATACCTCAGTGTTGTATACCTCAGTGTTTTATACTTCAGTGTTTAATACCTCAGTGTTGTATGCCTCAGTGTTTTATACCTCAGTGTTGTATACCTCAGTGTTTTATACCTCAGTGTTTTATACCTCAGTGTTTTATACCTCAGTGTTTTATACCTCAGTGTTTTATACCTCAGTGTTGTATACCTCAGTGTTGTATACCTCAGTGTTTTATACCTCAGTGTTGTATACCTCAGTGTTGTATACCTCAGTGTTGTATACCTCAGTGTTTTATACCTCAGTGTTTTATACCTCCGTGTTTTATACCTCCCTGTTTTATACCTCCGTGTTTTATACCTCAGTGTTGTATACCTCAGTGTTGTATACCTCAGTGTTGTATACCTCAGTGTTGTATACCTCAGTGTTTTATACCACAGTGTTGTATACAGAAGTGTTGTATACCTCAGTGTTGTATACCTCAGTGTTGTATACCTCAGTGTTGTATACCTCAGTGTTTTATACCTCAGTGTTTTATACCTCAGTGTTTTATGCCTCAGTGTTGTATGCCTCAGTGTTTTATACCTCAGTGTTGTATACCTCAATGTTTTATACCTCAGTGTTTTATACCTCCGTGTTTTATACCTCAGTGTTGTATACCTCAGTGTTTTATACCTCAGTGTTGTATACCTCAGTGTTGTATACCTCAGTGTTTTATACCTCAGTGTTTTATACCTCCGTGTTTTATACCTCAGTGTTTTATACCTCAGTGTTGTATACCTCAGTGTTTTGTACCTCAGTGTTTAGTACCTCAGTGTTTTATACCTCAGTGTTGTATACCTCAGTGTTTTATACCTCATTGTTGTATACCTCAGTGTTGTGTACCTCAGTGTTTTGTACCTCAGTGTTTTATACCTCAGTGTTTTATACCTCAGTGTTGTATACCTCAGTGTTTTATACCTCAGTGTTTTATACCTCAGTGTTGTATACCTCAGTGTTGTATACCTCATTGTTTTATACCTCAGTGTTGTATACCTCAGTGTTGTATACCTCAGTGTTTTATACCTCAGTGTTTTATACCTCAGTGTTGTATACCTCAGTGTTTTATACCTCAGTGTTTTATACCTCAGTGTTGTATACCTCAGTGTTGTACCTCATTGTTTTATACCTCAGTGTTGTATACCTCAGTGTTGTATACCTCAGTGTTGTATACCTCAGTGTTTTATACCTCAGTGTTGTATGCCTCAGTGTTGTATGCCTCAGTGTTTTATACCTCAGTGTTTTATGCCTCAGTGTTTTATGCCTCAGTGTTTTATGCCTCAGTGTTTTATGCCTCAGTGTTTTATACCTCAGTGTTGTATACCTCAGTGTTTTATACCTCAGTGTTTTATACCTCAGTGTTTTATACCTCAGTGTTGTATACCTCAGTGTTTTATACCTCAGTGTTTTATACCTCAGTGTTTTATACCTCAGTGTTGTATGCCTCAGTGTTTTATGCCTCAGTGTTTTATGCCTCAGTGTTTTATGCCTCAGTGTTTTATACCTCAGTGTTTTATACCTCAGTGTTTTATACCTCAGTGTTTTATACCTCAGTGTTTTATACCTCAGTGTTTTATACCTCAGTGTTTTATACCTCAGTGTTTTATACCTCAGTGTTTTATGCCTCAGTGTTTTATGCCTCAGTGTTTTATGCCTCAGTGTTTTATGCCTCAGTGTTTTATGCCTCAGTGTTTTATGCCTCAGTGTTGTATACCTCAGTGTTTTATACCTCAGTGTTTTATACCTCAGTGTTTTAACCGCCTGGTCTGTGGCTGGCTTCCGGGAGTTGTGCACAGAGCGCCTGATGAGGTAGATGGCTGCC